AACATCTAGTTACGATTTTATTTTATTGTACGGCGATATGATTTTAGAAAAAAAAAATAATAAAATAATTACTAGTGACTTTATGCCGCTTCACGTAATAGTACGTTTGTGTTGTTCATTCCCTTGCTGGATAGACTATACCTATCGGAAAACAGCCACTCTGCTGTAAGTACATAGTACTCACCAAGCCGAAACAAGTGCTTTAGTGAAAACGCCCATAAAAGCGTAGGTTTGGTGACGGACAACCTGATTTCCTTTGTCTATACTGAACTGGCATTTGACAAACGAGTAGTTAACGCAGAAGTATAAGTGCTTAAGCACATAAGTATGCTTAATGTAATGGATTTAAAAATGACTTGGTAGTATTTATAAATGGGGAAAGTAAAACTTACCAAAACACGATCCTATGTTTTATTGAAATATTCACATAGGTACCGAAAATTGTTAATGATTATTAAAGTGAGGTAAGAGGTTCCACAGACATAAAAATGTTGATATTATGGCGTATAATACCGTGATGACCCAGTGATCAATTTCAAAGTGCACTGATACAGTTTTCAAACATAATCATGTATATCGATCGGTACTCCCATAATGGCTGTAGCAATCGAACTGAACTCATTTACTAAAACCGCGAAAGTAATATCATTGCTACTTACGATTAGTTCCATCATTAACCGTATAAATGAAAGGAACCAATAAATTTCCATCGATAAAATAAAGAACGGCCTTAGCCTTAGAACATCCTAAACTTCAAGGTATTATTATGGTTATTAGGTAATAATAATATCAATATTAATATTTACTGATAAACAGCTTTGGAGACCTCTTTCTCATATCCCACCCTTATATTTTTCGTACTATACTATCTAATTTTAGACAATGCTCAATTAATTTTAACTGTTGTGAGAGGTATGCAGTTTTATTTTAAACGTTCTACTTCTATTGTACTGCTATAATTGCTTATAGACAAAAGTTAAAGGCGCGACTTGATCGGTAGATATTTTCAAAGGAGCAATTTATCTTATTAGCTGTCATAATCCGAATATTGATAAATTAATTTTTTTTTTTAAACCTAGGTATTATAACGAGTGAGTGTTAATAATTTTTCAATCCATATCCGGCACATTTTTCTGTAGTCCGCCCATGCGTGCCTCAATACCATAAGTGAATAAAAAATTTGACGCCCGTACTAGACTATACTCGTAGCCTATGGCGCAAACCATTACAATGCCGGCTGACTCCTCCAGTGTGATGCACTCCGAGTCCATTAATAAACAGAAAAACCAATCTATATTATACTTGCCGATGGTTGTCGGTGTGTTTGTTGCTTCTCATCTATGTCCACTTGTGTCTTGTCGACAAGCTCTAGGAATTCGGACGTTGATGATTCCATTAGGTGTGTAGTTATAACCGACTAGTCGATCAGCGCTCCGGTTTTCAGTTTAAGTGCACACTGTATTAAAATACTCTTATGTATAAGCTCGCTTACCGGGGGCCACCTTCTTTTATAATGTTTGTTGTGAGTATTAGCAAAAACTGGGTTTAATTACTCAGCCCGGTCACACGTGCTCTAGCTATTAGTGAATCAGCAATTTTTGGACTTTACTAATCTCTTCGGCATAATAAGATGTCATCGTGGCAATACTATAATATACAGACTAGAAAACAACACACAATAATGTTATTCTTTTGACGTAACCGTGTATCGGTCAAATTGTACAATAACCCATGTATGGTTGGTATACATACATAAATAACATGGTGGCATTTGTAGTGCAAAAAGATTTTTCGCTGTGACGTTTGGTATTTTAAATAATAACAATCATTGTTTGTTCTTACGGTTGGCAAATATTTTACATCACTTCCGGGGATACTATAGCACTGCTATACACACACACAAACACATACGGAGAAGACAAATGTCTATCGAATGATCAGGCATTATTCGGCTCAGCTAGATCAATCAGTAGGTTTTTAATTTGGCTGTGTATTTCGGTGTACAATGATTATTTTATCGACGGGCCTGGCATTAGACCTTCCGTTCTACTATGCCAGTGTTGATTGTTAAAAATTGTAATGGTTACTTTTGCCACGATACTTGGCTAACACTAGTATTGACCGCGAACACGTTAAACGTTGAAAATGGATATTAACTGATTTTTTAATAACCAGATACTAATTTTTATAATACCGCCGAATTCTCCGTGGCTCCGTGGTGTGTATTGACTACTACAACCTTTAATGCGGCCATTCAATAGTAATACTAATATTGTGCATGCGTCTTGACATTGATATTGTTCGTGATTTGGCCGCGTAGCAATGCAAGTACAATTGACAATTTACAATACCTGTTTATACTACTGTGCCGGGCCGGGCAAACTTCCAAAATGTCAGGTAAATATTTCCGCGTATTTCTAGGGTAACGTTCACTCACGGTCCAAGAAACGCGTGTACGGCATAGCTTATAATAGCGTTCTCATAGACACAGCGATCGCAGTAGTGCATCCTAGTATCCGACATTTTATTTCACACACCGTTTGACTTTCCACGTGTAACCCAAAGGTTACAGCGTATACCCGAGGTCGGAATTCCTAAGTTTGTATACAGATTATTGTTTGAACCGGATTACACCTACTCTGTCGACTGACAGAAAAAATACATGCTAGCTATCATGAAAACAAGAAGTCTGGAAACAAAAATAATGAGTTACTAAGTAAATTCAACGAAAAAGCGAACCTAATGGTAAGAAGCGACGGCCTAAGAGGTTTGTTTGTAATTTATTTTTTTGTGATCGACCGCGAAGTACTTATATTTAAAAAAAACAATTAATCAACGAAACGTCGAAAGCTGTCTAAAAACAGAATACTCGATTTGACACAGTCCTATCACATTTCATTCATTATGCCCGATGTCAGCACTGTGGAACGTGAACAATTAGACGAATCAGCTGTACACACGAAGAGGAAGTTAATTCAACTGAAAAATCGATTTTGTACAAATGTTCTACTAATGATGTTCTGGTATACCTAAGTTTACGACTTACGTAAGTCATTGCGAGCAATATTGATATGACTAAAAGTGATAAAACCACATTAATCACAAGAACAAATAACTGCCTAATAGTCCAACCCAAGTCGTGTGTGGAACATCACGGGAGGAAGTGAACGAGTTTGAACAAAAAATAAAACACACATAAACTAAAAGAAATTGTATACATTTGTAAATGTTAAACACACTTTTTTCGTTTTGTTCCTTGTTTAATATTTTTTAACTAAGAAACGCAGGAAGAATTTCATATTGCCGCTATTATCGTATAAAATCTATCTATTAAATTATATTATTACTTCGGCCGTTTGACATACAAGTCGTGAGTTTTTGGCAAAAATGATAATTTTAATCGTGCCGGAGAGACTGCGTTAGACCATTCTAATGGCGAGTGCCTAGTATCTTATTGTATGTTCAGGCCCGGATGAGGACCATTTGATGCCCCGGGCCAAAGTTTAATAGAGGCTCTCAAACAATTATTATTTTAACATATTTTTAGCATATTAGCTCAGGGTTAACCCCAAGACTATTGCCTGCTCCCTGATGTTGGTTTTTACTTGTCACTTGTCGCTTTTTTAATTTATAAATTATAAGTACATATGTAGTACATTAATGTTAAACCGAAGGTAAAATAAGTTTAGCTTACAAATAATTGTGTATTAACAGTATTAATGTAAGAACTTAAAGAGATTGAAAGCGGTCGGTTTTTTTTATCAAAAAGGCCTGACAAAATTCTACTACTTAGAATGGTTCGATTTAAATTCTGTAAATATATATGCGAATTTTGTCTACTTACCAAAATGGCGTTTACTCATTGAAAAAAATGTACAAGTTAAAAGATAATACACTGAAGTTTATACAAATTGGTCTGTAAATAAAATGACATTTTCGACATTTTTTAAAACCCCTTTTTTCTTGAATATTGCCTATATAAAAATCCTTAAAACCCGCTTTCAATCCTCTTAAGAGGACGTCACCATGCATTTTTATGGTATAAAAACATGAGTAGGCTTTTTCCAAAATTGTTTTACACTAAAGTCACTTAGTGACTATATCATTTGATAGTTAAGAACATTATCCGTGTCACCTCTACGAATTTTTTTTTTTAAACGTATCTAGTTTTTGATTTACATAGAGTAGAAAAAAAAAGGGTTTAAGCATTTTGGTTTTAATAATCAAGTAATTATAAAAATCTCAACGAGGCGGACATAGTCAAAGTTATTAACTTTTAGATGATATAAAAAACAGTCTTGTTAGACAACTTTGGGAAAAACTACGTATCCAGAAAGAATAAAGAAAAATAATTATGTAAATTAATACACATAATTTAAAAGCAGTAATAGTACCGGAAAGTAATTAGGAAAATTTAGGACCACGCCTTTCGATTAGGCTTCGCAATTAATAGCGTCGGCACTGCTCGCTGCAAAGTAAGCTTAAGTATTATATAGAATACTTAAGCTACTCGCGACAAGGCATTGGTTATATTTTTTTCAAAATCCCATCTAAAACGGGCAGATGATACATTTCTATTGGACGCTTTTAAAAAAAATCAAAACCTAATACATTCGAAAACGACAAAAAAAAAACCAAATTATGCGTTACGTCGCGCGGCCGTGAGAAGCACAAATGAAATATATTACAATAATATTAAGCTTTAATGTTAATACGAACATCTTGTTTACAACAAAGTCGAGTTGTTTTGCTGACTTAGTATAAATCGATATTAAGTGTGTGTGTGTGTGTGTGGATATATTATGTCCTTATATATATATATATATATATATATACAGCTGATGTTAAAAACTTAACAGAACATTTCATTATAGCGCCCGTCCACTATTAGATGTATAAATATATACATATAATATATTAATAATACTATGTAGCATGGTCGGCGGTCATCGAGGCGTGGAACAGGTTGTGTGCCGAGAGAGAGTGCCGGCGTTGAGTGAAAGAACCGCCGGAGACGTCCTCAGTTTTCGTACAGGTGTCGAACCGCGTGGAGTCGTCTACCGTGTGTAAGACCCGGCAAAACAGTTGTGCGCTCGGTGCGGTGTTTTCGATTTGAAAGAATTTTTTTTTTCAATTACATTTACACTATTATACTTAACGTGATTCGTTCAAAAACTCCGGGTACGCGCTGCACATTCACCAGAATTGCCGCCTCGGATAAAATGTAGTTTTTGGATTAGTGAACCAATTTTTTTTTTCACAATTACAAGGATCGGTACGCACCGTGATTAATCTGTAAAGGTAAAACAAAAATACAATTATTATCAATTCAATGTATAATATGCTTATTGCACGAGTAGGAGGTAGTTAATTTAGATATTGATCGTTGAGTTAAAAAAAAAAATCTTTTAACTAAAAAAAAAATGGTTTTAGTTTAAACCATAGAAGGGATATGGCAACAAAAAATAAACGGGTGTTTACAAAAAAAAAAAAATTGCTCAGTAATTCAAAAATCTTATAAATAACAAATTTAAAAAAACCTATGAATATATTCAAACTAATAATATTTGCTAAGAACTTTAAAAATAAAAAATGAAAGAAAAATAAGAATCATGATTTTTTTAGTACATCTTTTAAATACATTTTATTGTATATTTCGGCTTCTTTTAATAAGACATCTAATAATACATTAACATCAATGACAAACAAATTTTAGAATCAAAACTTGTTTGAAAATCGAGTTTTTTAAATTCTAATTCCAATTTACTTACCCAATGATGACTTCAAATAATATTTAAATATATTTTACCCAAAATAGATAAACACACTGCCTTATTTAATTATACTTAATAATATAAAATAATTTAAAAATATCCCGTTCTCCCTCGACGGGATCAATATCAAAAACAATAAATAAGAACTTCATAAAAGTTTCATCTAAGTCTTAGTAATAGTCTGAGTGATGAGTCTCAATACTCGAATCAATCAACCAATTCAATTAAAATAATAATACTTTTTATTAGTTCTAACTATATAAGTTACTGCGGAACGTTTTACCTACTTTTACTCTTAACTTTTGCTTGCCTTTGCATTCTGAAGATGTAAACTTATGACAAATGTATTATTAATGTTTCGGTTTGGTAGGTTATATACAATTGGATATGACACTAATCACTAATGCAGTGTACTATAAAAAAACCATAAATTGAATGAACTATTATAACTTGATGGCTTTATGACGAGTCACGAAATTATGTTTAATAAACCAATTAATGTCTATTGATTCATTACATCGTTGATTCAAGCAACCCGGCATAATAGGATATCATATATTTTTCGTACGCGCAAAAATATCCTCCAGTTACCTAGCATCCATAACGGAATGTGCTAAGACGCATTTTTTGTATTATTTATAAGCTTGACAACTGCTGTTTTACACGTTCGGCATTGTAATTTCATCATTTTGCGGTGTCGCTTCACCGCAAAAACCACACCGTTCGCTTATGGAAATCATTTCAATAAAAAACGGTATTGTCTATGATTTCCTATAATACAATCTAAAATGATTTATTATTACACCGATAAGCGTACGGTATCCATTATCCACTTTCAGTCACGTATAGGTACAAATTGCAAGTGTATAAATAACTTTGAGAGTTTAGATTTTGCACTCATCTGGACAATCTCCCCGGGTTACACGGTATCCGTTCTCGACGAATGCTCTTAAAAATAACATTAATACTATATCAAAGTCTAACTGTTGTCACCGCAACAGCTCTTCAACCGGTCGACACGCGCTAAGTCTACAGGGAAGTTTCGCCCGAGGGTACGACACCGTGTCCGTGGCTAACGACCGGGAAAAATATGGAATAATAAGCAAAACTATAACACTATAATATAGTAGCACACCAATTTTATGTTATACACTAAACGGCTAACGCCTAACACCCAGATCTAAGTTCTAACCTAGAAACGGTGGACAAATGCAACCGGCAATGAGCAGGGATTATTATAAACCGCTGCCAACACCGTCGTCGAGATCTAGTGTTTATTTACCTTTAAATACTCTCACATTAACACACACAAACACAATTTTATATATATTTATAGAAAAATAAATCATATTAAGATAGGGGAATGAGGACAGCAGATCTAGAAACGATGGAAAAAAAACCCCAATGAAACGCCGCGAATTTTTTCATAGTCGTTATTTTTTACTCATTATGAATAAAAACAAACTAAAATCGCACGTTCACAATTTGTTTGCATACATTTTTTTGCACGAAACTATATTGCGTTTAACACGTGCTTACACGTACATATTATATATAATTGCTGGGAAAGACAGTGAATACATCAACCGAGATAGGATATGCCACGGCACGATTCTTCTCGGTAAGACGCCGCAGTGACTGCTGTTGTGAGTGTTATCTGTGTATGTGTGTGTGTGTGTCTTCTTCACGACTCACACCGCTAAATTATATCTGCTGGTTAGATTTAAAAGGAACAAAGCGACACTTGGTGACCACATTCAAGAAAAACAAAATCAATGGTATTCTACAAACAGTTCTTATAAATTGAAATATGCTAAGTCTGGATACACTGAAGGTATATTTTAAGCGTGAAAATTAATTCCTTAACCGCCTTATTTGGTTTGTAGTTGACTCAATGTTTTAAAATGTTGGAAAAACGTTGAAAATAAAATCATTTACTATTTGTCTAAACCATTCGGTTTTATTAATTTGTTTTAAATCTACTTTTTTTGTTTTTAATTACTTCAAAGAAAACATTTTTAAACAATATATCAATAAAAGTTGTATATGTGTAATTATGTCAAAAACGTTAACGCTATAATAATTCATATATATATATATATATATATATACATTTTATTTTAAACTGAGATTTAATAATTAATAATTTTACTTAGTTAGTTATGAAAGGGGATTAAATCTCTTGCAATAATTATCGACTTTGAGGGTGAATCAAATAAAGCATCAGCTTGCCTAAAACATAAGAAAAAAATCATTTTTTTTATTGTTAATAGTTTGAAAACTTATGAAATTTATTTCACCTGGGATAAAAGTATTTTGTCAAATCCGCCGCTGCGCTAAATATAATAAATGCGTTTTTGTTCACTGTGTTTTAGCTATGAAAATCGTTACGTTAGGTTAGAATTAAATACCTTATTTCATTTTATACGTTTTGTACCTTGCGTTGTCTTAGAGACCCGTCTGAACTTAACCGCCAAACAATGTTGGTTATGTAAAAAGTCAATGCTGCAAAATCCGTAGCAAATTACATAAACTGGGTCGTCTGATCAGGCTTAGTGTTGTTTATTCCCTAATACTATTATGTTCGATGATTTTGTTATTTCTAGTTTTATGAGGAAAACACAAACCTAGTCCGTTGGATTTAGTAAAGCCCGGTTGTATGACATAATAATTACACAAAATAAAATATAGCAACCGATACTTTGGGACAGTCGCCGGAATTTCATATGTTGGGCGCCGGATGTTATTAAAAAACAATATTATACTATAGCGTTTCGATTTCCCGATGCTTGTGTGTGTCCCCATTAGACACGATTTCCCGGCAAAGTACGACTAGCAGCTAGCCGAAGAGGTTCGGGCGGCCGGCCAATGGTTAGGTTTCTCGTCACACGTACATATCATTATCATTATCATCATCATCATTTTTACTGCGTTATTAACGACAAGGCTATACAACAACAGCAGCAGCAGCAGTCGACGACGGACGAGCAAACAGGGTCGTAATGGCGCACTATATGGTATCTCTTATACCCGGGCGATACACAACAACAATATGCGATGAATAATAATGATAATAATATGTGTGTGTGTTATGTCCGTATATACGTAGCGATGTGGGTCACACACATAGTATTATACACAGTGAATTTTACACCGCGACAAACCGCGACCAATCGGCGAACTATGGGAACGTTAAACGGGCAAACAGCCGAATGTAAAAAACATGTAAATTGCTCCGAATAAACGGTGATTACCAGAGTCCAAAAAAAAAATATTATTCCTAGAGCTGTAGGCATGGGCTTTGACGTTCCTCTGCACCTGGTCATCTGGCCTTCCGTCCGGCGACTTCCATTGGATTATTATTTTTATTTTTTCGATTATTCAATCAACAACACATTTACTTTTCACAATCGGAGACGGCGTGTATACACAATAAGACAAGCGGTGCTCAAAACGGTGGAAACACGATCTCGTCCACGGGAGTTGCGCAACCGGCAAAGTCTTCGGACCGAAACGAAACTGATCGTTTGTGTGTGTGTGTTCATACTGTTTACACGAGGGCAAAAGGCGCATAAAACGCACCATAGAATAATGTGTTTGTGAAGAAAAATAAATAAACGCCAAGGAGGTATTATAATATCGTTTAACCTCGGACCAGACGTGTACTGGGAATTAATATTGATGGAAAAAAAAAAATCAAATAACAATGTATATTATATTGTTGATAACCTAACCCGTAAGGTCTTCGGGGCGATTTGTTCCGCTTCTAATAACCGTGTTGTATATTGTAAGCGTCCAAAACTACAAGAGACGCAGTATAATATCATTATGTTATACTTAACTCGTGTAAGGCTGAGAAAAAAAGCGAATTCGGAAAATTACAAAACAACCTGCGTGCAATATCGGAGACCTCAAATACATACATCGTCCTTGGACGGTGTATGTGGGTGTTTATAACACTACTGTGATGATTGTCAATCTAAAAAACGCATAGCAAACAAACAACAATGGTGATTATAAATTCATATTTACAGTACCTGTACAAAACTCAAATATGCACACAACATTTTATCTATGGATAGTACTTGCATGTGTTTTTCGTGCGCATGAACATGTAAATGAGATAAAACTGATGTTATTTAAATTGGAACATTTCAATAGGTTCAACTATGTAACATAAAAGCATTAAACTTACATAACTTATGAATTCCTATCGAGAAATGATGAAGATTTTAGTTGAAACGGTATTACAAGGCACAATCCGGTTCGATAATACTTAAGTGAAATAATCTCTAGTGTTAGCACAAAACACAGTCATGTCCAATTTTCAGATTTTAGTCGTAGAAACGAATTACTTGTTACAGAATGTACAACCTTGGTTTGGTAGATGACTTTGAAATTGTTAGCGCCAATGCAGTGTGGGTCGATTTCATTGTTAGTAGGTTTTAGTTATTGTGGTTCGCAGGAATTTAACGCAAGGAGATAAATATCGATGATGTGGGTCATCTGTTTGTTTTGTAGATTCAA